GGTTGTAGCCACAGCTGCCCTGGGGCAGACTGACAGAAGCGAGGCTGCCATATCGCGCCATCGGCCCCTCCGGCCAACACCAGTAGGCAGTAGGGTAGTGTCTTTCCCAAGGACACAACGACCAGGACAGAGAGCCCGGGGATCGAACCGGATACAGCCATTATGTTGATCTAGGAACAACACCAACACAGGAGTATCAGATAGACCACTGTAAACACTCACTGTTGTACCTTGCTCCCGACTTTCTCCTGTATACTAACCTTGGTTTTTCCCCCCTTTGTTTCCCTTCCCTGAATCAACTGATGAATCAACTGAAAGGTCAGCCACAACTCCCAGTGTCTGTTTCAGGTCTTTGCTGTATTTTTTATATTTTTTATCAATATGATTTTCAGATACTGTTCATCTGTTAGAGACAGTTTTTGTGTTAGGCCATTCCACTTTTGTCCTATCATAAGCTACCTAGTCCCACAAGGGGAAATTTCCTTCATGTACTCAGTTTCCTTAATTTTTTAAATGATACTTTGATGACCATGCCAAGACATATTCCAAGAGATCAGCTAATAGCTCTGTGGGAAACACCTCGATGGTGCAAAAACATGTATTTTATGTGTCAAACATTGTTAGGTTTTGCATTTGTTACAGGTTAAAAATAAAAACAATTTCCTGAAAATGGTCAAGTACAAAGACTGGACTGGAAACAAATGAAAAAAAGCTAACGTCCAAAGAGCTATTTTGAAGAACCCCAGAAAGCCCGAAGAATTAGACATGAGTCGTGCCGCACAAGTTTAGATAAAATAAAGACCTTAATTCACTGAAATCTCAGCCAAAATAAGAGATACCACAACCAAAATTGACCATAGAAAATAGTTTGCTCCAGTTTCTCCACTTCCAGAAATTCTGCTGGACCCTGCAGTGGACTTGAACACTGCAATGCTCATCAGGATACAGCTCTGACTGTAACTAGAGATCCACATTAGAGAAAAGACAATGGAAACAAACATTAAACTTTAGAAGCACAAGAACATCCCCAAATGAGCTTGCATTGGTTGTAGGTAACATGATAGGACATAGTGGCAGGAGATTCATATCTGACATATTGTAAAGTCTAGCTCCTTGAACACTAAATATCAAGAAATGAAGAATGGGTCACAATTTTGCACAGTACTGTAAATAAACAAAAAGATGAGTTAACAATACTTGTTATAAAGTGATATCTAAAATATTGGAAATCTAGTAACCACCACAGCCGAAGCAGCAAATCTCTTTAGTGTTTGTAGATAAATTCAACTTTTAAAATAAAATTTACTCATCTCACTGAGTCAAACTCATTCTCACAAAGAAGAGGTGGATAGACTGACAATTCTGTTGAAATGAGCAGAAGCTGCAGGGAATTGCGCTGATAAGAGGTCAACAGGCTGAAAATTCTGCAAAAAAGAGGTGAATCATCAGAATTTCTGCTGAAAAGAGATGAATCAGCAGAATTTCTGCTCAAAAGTTTTTTCTGAAAACAGCTGAGATTTGTGCTGATAAGAGGTGAAAAGGCTGAAAATTTTGCAGAAGAGGTGAATATACAGAATTTGGGCTGAAAAGAGGTGAAAATTCTGAAAATTTTGCTGAAAAGAGGTGAATGAGCAGAATTTCTGCTGAAAAGAGTTTTTTTCTGAAAACAGCAGAAAAAACTAAAAATTTTGCTGAAAAGGGGTGAAAAAGTTGAAATCTGTGTTGAAAAGTTTAACTGTTAACTGAAAGAAATGTTGCTAAAACACAGCTCAGCCCAGCAAGGAAAATCAGTGACCACACTGATAATGTGGAAGAAATGGGCAAAAAAATATTGCATAAAAAATTCAATATCTCAAAAAGTATAGAAGATACACAAGATATCCGTGTATCTTCTTCAAGATATTTATTAGATATTTATAAAGAGATCCGAGGAGCTGCAGTGTTTTGCAGAAATGGCGCATCCCCGTGAGCAGTTATACTAGCAGCATGACACAAGGTAGGCTGAATTTG